TGCCATTAAGTGTAAGACAATCAATGTGGTTTCTGCGTCTGCTCGGTAGCGCTTCAGCTGATTTCATTTTCCGTTGGAGCGGTATGATTTCGGGCAGAGACGTACTTAGCCCTTCTCGTCAACTGGAGAGTGAGTACTTTTTTCTTTATTTTTTTTTTTACTTGGTCGCCCTCGTTTCACTACACATTACCTTTGTTATTTCAAGGGTAGTTGTTTCTGAAAAGGAAAACCCCAACTTTGCGGACACCCTATAGCTGTTATCTTAGGTTTTCAATAACACAAACATTGTCCGTCGAGGTCATTTGAAGCGTCTATTTTCCGTTCCTGAAATGCAAACTGCCGACATCTTTGAGTTCGAGTATGTCCTTGCGAATGAACCTGACCTTCAAAGTCATTTTTAAGATCAGATAAATTTCCAAGTAAACTCCATGCTTTTTGTCGGGGATATAAAAACGCGAAATATTATAAATAAAGTAGAATTGCTTTTCGTTCGTTGTTCATCGAGACCAAGCCTATACGATGCTGAAGAGCTGCCAAATAGCACGGAACAGCCATCTGGGGTCGGACGAATGGAAGCCATACTGCTACATTGAAAAAGTTTATTGTTTCAATAAAATCTCGGATAAAAAATGTTCTTTGGCAAAATAAATATTACATTACTTTGAGTATTGCATGTTTGTCTCTGAAACCAATCTAGTCTTGTACGAGTATAGTAACTAGTAGGTAGAAAAACAACTATAGTATGAGATCTTGAACCGAGAATAAAGAAGCCGTGTACGTAGAGGAATTTAAACTTATTGATTGAAAGTATGATCCATGTCACGTAAATGACTTCTATTCATGTCCTAAATATGATGCAATTAACACCAGATCCATTGTCATTACAAGAAGCTGTTTATGTCTCGACAAACTTTCCACAAATGAAATTCGACCGTTGGTACTCTGATCATTATTAATACGAAAACATTCCACATCCTTCTGGTTCGCAAGATTAAATATATGCATGTGTATCGTTTAATTAAGAAGACCATTATATTTTTTTTAATTAGAAATTCACTGTTAAGGTCGACGGGATGGTTGTAAAAAATGGTCAAGGTGACTTTATTAAAAATATCGTTTTCCAGAAGAACTGAAAAGAATGCCGTAATAGGTCAGCAGTTACACGTGTTTGATCATCAAAAATGAGGCTTTTAAAACATATTTCCAAATTAGACGTAGTCACGCCTACCTCAGAAGGGTAACTGAATTGGACCATTTTGTGATAGAATGGCAATTTTTCAGACTGGAAAATGCTTTTATAGCCTTCGTCAGTCAGAGAATCTCGAAAATTCTGGGAGCATCTCTTCAAGGTACAAAGACGACTGATTACTCAGCATAATGATAATCCGAGCAATTTTCCTCGCTCCGTTGATATTCTACTTGGGAAAGGATCAACTGACACCAACCAGTGAATCAGAGTGGTGACTGGCATAATATGCCTACTAGAAAATCAAGGCATGAACAAGTACAAATATATAATTCCTTTATAAACATCGTGTTACAAATTGTTGCCAAGAAAATTGAAGACCAGATTTAGAACATCAAAATATGGAAAACTAAACACATAAACATAGATTCATAAATGATTTACTTCGTAATGGGGTAAAATTTTCAAGCTTTTATCTCTCCGATAGTTCGCATTACAGTTCCCAAAAATTTCATATGATATTGAGGTTAATTTTTGGTGGTTGTATTAGCAAAACATTAACATCTCGCCACACAAATTCCGTTTATTCTACTACGCTACTATAGATGGAGTTCACATGGCCGAATACCAGACAGTCACCGACAAGTCACCGATGACTGTACGGACAAACCTAAAATCGTTCCCTAGGCTCAGCAAAGTAGCAGTCTGCCTCTGTTTGCTAAAAATGGTTTAATATTATGTCCCTAAATTTTCCTAATAGCTTTCTGTAACACCGTGTATCAGTAAACTGGTTTGGATAAATGACACCTTTAAATAATGCTTGCGCACCTGTTGCAGATTATAATTTACGATGCCTCCTTAACCCGATTGCATGGTCGATTTTAAATAGCGAAGCTTCGGTAGCTTCACAATCTTTTTGCTTTTGTTTTCAAATTATGCTTTAAAATGTTTCTGAAAATGTTAGATATTCTTCGAAAATGGCAATAAAATTGTGCGATAGGATTGAGTCTCATAGTCACCACTACTACAAACAATATAGAATTAGATAAAGAAGTTCACAAAAATTTTATTATGTATACACACAACTTCAAGTGAGTATGAGTATGAGTATGATACCCACAAAAAGGTATCTCACTACGCCTTTAACCGGATCAGAAACATTGGAATCCCAAAAACTTTGTTTGTCTTTTCTAATAAAAGAACAACTGCATATTAGAAGATTCTCAACACACAGGCGCACGAACACATCTCAACAATAGTGGCAGCTGCTGGGAAAAAGCTGGGCTATTTGTTTAGGGACTAAGAAGTACATTTACATACACTATTGCTGGTTTGGGTGCTGGACGACTGATCGATGACTCTTCTCTAACAGACAGCCTCGAGACCCTTTCGAACCGGCGGGCCGTCGGGGATCTAGCCCAGACAGACTTGCCTGACTTTGGCCTACTATCCTAACCGTATCGACATTCAGAACTGGTCGATACAACCGCTCCTTTGACTCTAGGGTATCGAGATTGTGGAACAATATACACGAAGCTTTTCCCAACTCTTCTAACTAGGCAGTTCAAAAACCGAATTAACAAAGTTTCTTTAAGAGTCTCATAACAGTTGAGGTGTCCTGCGCGGCTGCTTCGGTGTAAAAAAACAGTTCTCTCGAAATTTCAAAGGATTTGTACAACCGCTACTGACATCACGCACAGACGAGAGCATCAACAGAGACCGGCCAACAGCTAGGACCGTCAGGCAAACTAACGATAATAAATCAACCTTTGATACATCAGAAGTTTCTGCAATAATAGTGTTTCCATCTGCATAGGTAATATAAAGATTTCTAAAAAGATCAAAACTACACTGCCACGGAAAATTAACCAGACAAACAAAATTTTGTTCAAATTAACTTTTAAATAACTTTTTAACCTTTGCATCAATTTCGTAAATGTTTCCGTCAAGTTGTAGGTAATTTCATTGTGATCATTACTGACTGTTTATCTTGCAAAAAACTTGAAAATGTGTGTGTATATACAGGGTGCAACTAAAAGGTGCATTTTGTCCTAAATTTCTGAACACCCCGTGGAAACATTGGATTACTGAATGTGTCTTTGTATGAGACTTTTAAGCCTCAACTTTTCTCAACAGTTCTTTTTTGATTCATGCCAATATCAGAATCATTGAAGAATATATGCTGTTTTGAAGAAAATCATGCGAATCATAGCCATAAACAATAAATTGTTTGAAATAGGCTTAGCCGGGTAAGAAATTGTTTCAAGTAGGCTGTGTCTTTTAGCATTTTTATGGCATGTCAAAAAGATTCTTGTCAAGCAATACTCAACAAAAATGACGCCGGAACAAGTTGCGCAAGCTGTAGCTTTACAAGATAATGGTCGTCCTATTCGGTATATCGCAGAAAGGCTTGCCATTCCACGCAGTACGGTATCCGATGCGATACAAAGATTCGGAGAAACTGGTTCTTACTCAAGAATACCTGGGCAGGGAAGACGGAAAGCAACAAACGCAGTTGAAGATCGGTTTCTGAGACTTCACGCTCTTCGAGAAAGGACAGTTCCTGCTACAGCTTTGACTCGAAGATTGGAAGATGTTCATGGTACCATAGCTTCACCTGATACCCTACACCGAAGGTTGAGAGAAAGAAACCTATCATCTTGTGTACCTGCTACAGGTCCTCTATTGGATGTAGGTCATCGAAGGCAGCGCTTGGTATTTTCTCGAACTCATGGAGATTGGGATATGGACGACTGGAAAAACGTTCTTTTTACAGACGAGTCTACGTTTTACGAGATAATCACTTGATGGTCGCCAAAGAGTGTGGAGAAGGCGTGTACAACGCTATGCTCAAAGTTGTTTCGCTCCTAGAGTACAATTTGGTGGTGGAGGAATGATGGTATGGGGCGGTATTTCTTTGGAATCTCGCACAGATCTTGTTTCGCTACGAGGAAGACACCTTACCGCCTCCAGGTACATTAGAGAGTGTTTGGAAGAACGTGTAGTTCCTCATAAGCCCTTTGTAGGAGAATATTTTCTCCTAATGCAAGATAATGCTCGGCCGCATATAGCCAGAATGACTAGGCAATACCTCAACGATGTTGGAATTCAAGTACTAGACTGGCCGCCATGGAGTCCGGATCTCAGCACCATTGAGCACATGTGGGATACATTAGGAGGGAGGCTTAGGCAGAACTATGCAGAATTTCAAACTCGTTTTTGATAACAATTCCTTATTACCAATGATTTTTTAAGTTAAACTATTTATGGTTATAATTCGCATAGTTTTCTTACCAATGTCGTCACTGTATTTTTTTAAATTAAATTGTTTATGGCTATAATTTGCATGGTTTTCTTCAAAACATCATATATTCCTCAATAATTGAGATATTGACATGAATGAAAAAAAACGGTTGAGAAAAGTCGAGGCTTAAAATTCTCATACGAAGACACATTCAGTAACCAATGTTTCCACAGGATGCGAAATTTACGGCAAAATGCACCTTTTAGTTTGTCTAACAACAAACATTTTCAATCTTTTTTGCAATATTGACAGTCGATAATGATGAAAATGAAATTACCTACAACTTGACGAAAGAACTGACGAAATTGATGCAAAAGTTAAAAAGTTATTTCAAATTTAATTTGAACAAAATTTTTTGTCCGGTAAAATTTGGATGACAGTTTATATTATGCGGTCATGATAGTAACTTGTAGTTCGGAGGTAAAATTATGCTTACCACTCCAAAAAAATGTCGTTAAAATATTGCACATCGCTTACGTCTAGGAAGAAATAATAAAATCATCAACTTACGCAGCTTCCTACAGCTGGCCGCGCCGATTAGTAGCACTACAACACAGAGGAACTTCATTTTCACCGGTAAACCTAAAGATACTAACTGGCAGACGGAACGCAACAAATATGTTGAAGCTGTCTTATGCGGATGGTATACAATTTGTTGTTATATACCGCAGACGTACAGATGATGTCAGTAGCGCGGACTGAGGTCGCCCACAAACCAACGTCAGCAATGATGTTGCTTGCAGGTAGAAATAAAAAACCAAAAAATAATAAGCTGTACCAATTATACCAGTGTCATGCAAAAATCAGGTCATCTTGCCTACCGGTTACCCTTAAACTATACAATATCTACATCTCAGTTTATTATCCGAACAATGAAAAATATAATCAATAGGAGGTACTGTCTTCCCACGCATTTAATAATAATAATAATAATAATTTTTATTGGAATGTTTATACATAAAAATATAAAAACGACAACATTCCAAAAGGAAAGAGGATTGGCAGGGCCATTTTTCACCTCCCCCTAAAAAGTTAACTTCATGAGCGTTTTTTAACATCAACAGAATTCACAACATATATTATGCACAACACAGTATATAATACGATATAGTCTGAGTGTTAATGGAGGGTGTAGCAAGCGCCATAAATTTAATTTGTGGATTCAAATCTTTGCAGCTGTAGTAGCACTTTTTCCATCTCATTTCTGAAGTTTTGGATGGAAGGTGCTTCAAGAAGTTCTAAATGATCGTTTAGTAGATATGGTGCCGTGTAAGTAAAACATTTTTTGAATTTAGATGTTGTATGAACTGGAACATTGAAGTATTCATTGTTGCGTAAGGAAACTTTACGGAGTGAACATCTCTTCTCTAAAGCAATAAACAGATATCTGGGTAATTTATATTTTAAAACTTTATACGTTATAGGTTATAGTAGAGTTCCATACTGAAGTAATACACGATACTTGAATTTTAAAAGATTTTCTCTCTCATAATATCCAGTAATATATTCTTGTATATGTATATCTTTGAAACAGAATCTCATGCAGCAGTTTTGTAATACTTGAATTTTGTGCTTCATTTCTTCCGTCAGAAAATTATAATATACTGTAGCGCCATAGTCTAGGTGAGTGAGGATTATTGCATTGGTAAGCCTTAATTTTATATCGCTGGTTAAAACATGTTAGTATCTCCAAAGTGACTTGTATTTACAATAGCATACTCGAAGCTTATTAATGACATGGTTCTCAAAACTTAAATTTGTGTCCAACAAAACGCCTAAATTCTTAGTCACCTCTACAATTTCAACAGATGTATCACCTACAAAAATGGCTGTACTCATCAATCCTTTAAATTTTGAAATATTTAACCTAGAACCAATGCAGCAAGCTTCAGTTTTTGTGGGATTCAGTTTCAAACAATAATTTTTGGAATAGTTTGCAATCATTTCTAGATTTACATTTAACTCTTTAATCAATAAATTAACTTCATTTGGCTTGCAAGCTTTATACATTTGTACATCATCAGCATATAGATGTATATTCCAATCATGTGATATAAAATTTCATAAATCAGATGTATAGAATGTAAATAGTAATGGACCTAATACACTTCCTTGCGGAACACCAGAAACTACATTTTGTAAAGTGGACATTTTGTTAAATATCTTTGTGCATTGGGATCTGCCAGTCAGGTAGTTGTTGAACCACAGTAAGGCATTACTAGACAAACCATAATATTGTAGCTTTTTACATAATACTTCATGGTTGACCATGTCAAATGCCTTACTGTAATCCAACATCACCAATACGGTCACCATAGCATCATCGATGAACTTGACTATATCGCTAGTTACTTTTATAAGCGCTGTGGATGTGTTGTGTAGTTTTCTGAATCCCGACTGTATATCGGGAAGGACTTCATTGACTTCTAGATGGTCACGAAGTTGGTCAGCTACCACTTTCTCTGCAAGCTTGGACATCACAGGTAAGGTGCTTACTGGTCTCAAATCCTTCATCTGTGTAGCGTTATTGACTTTTGTTAGTGGCATTACAACTGATTTCTTCCATAATGTTGGTACTTCTCCTGTGTTCAGGGATTGATTTATGGTATTTGTTATTTCACTTTTGCAAAAAGAAAATACATTTTTCAGCATGCTTGTGGTAATACCATCTATACCAGCAGCATTTGATTTCACTTCTCTTTGTTTCTTTTCAATATCATCAGATGTAACTAGATGGAACGAACTTTTAGTTACGAGTGACTTTTTCTGCCCAGATAAAGTGTTAAGAAATAACTCATCAGGTTGAATGGTTGGCAATGAGTTCACAAAGTGATTGTTGATGGCTTCTGCGTCTTCAATGCCCTGAGATATCTGATTAATGGATCTTTGATGAATATTCCATTTAGCAAAGTCTTTCCATAGTTGTTTGGGATTATTCCTGTTCTTATTTAGTTGATATTTTATATAAGCAGTTTTTTCATTCCTTAAAGCCAGACCTGAGTAATTTCTAAGATCGTTATAAAACAATCGATCTGTTTCAGATCTAGTCCTTTTAAATTTACTGTAAGCTTTTCGTTTTAAATTTATTATACATTTTATTGTATAGGTGTGTAGAACTTATGAGGTGTAATTCTTTTCATTGGAGCATGTATGTCATACAGCAAGGTAATTTTGTCAGTAAGATGGAGGACTTTATCATCAAGACTTTCTAGATTATTTATATCATATCAGTTCACAGCAGTTGCATCTTCAGCAAATTCATCATAATTAAAGTGGGAAAAGTCACGACAATAAAATGTTGTAGGAGTGTATTCTGGAATTTCAATCTTCAATTCACAGAAGCATAACCAGTTATATCTCCCATGCCTATAGTGCCACTCTTGCGCACATGCAGTGTATTTGATACAATAATTACATCAATAATTGTAGCTGAATTCTTGGTAATTCTTGTGGGTTCATTAATAACCTGAACGAGATTGAATAATGCCATGGTTTAAAAAAAATTTTTACTGGGATTGGAAAACTTATCGGTGAGGTCAATATTCACATCGCCCATCAGTATAACTTCATCATGGGTAATGAATATACATATAGAAGCAAGGTTATTCTCAAGGCTAGAAAGTAGACTTAATGCAATAGATGGTGGTCTATAGATAACACCTATCGCAATGGTCTTATTATTTAGTTTGAACCAGACAAATTAAATATCGCGTATCTACAAATTCTATTATGACTATATTAAGATACGTACAAATTTCAACAAAAGAGCCTGCATAATGCTTATGGTTAACAACTTTTAGCAAACATACTGAGTGACAAAAAAACGTTTGGCATATATGTTCACGTTCAGTGTTCCTTACTAGTAAAATGATTAAATTTTCAGCTTGATTCGTCAACTGACTGCAGAACAGTGGCGAAACGAAACCATTGGTAACAGTTAAAAATCTTAAAAATAAATATTTTATGACTAAGTACTGTGAAATAGTTTCATTTATTTGTTTACCAACAGCGATATGTAATAGTAATAGTAAATAACAAAATAGCCCCACGAAAATAATGCGCCCTATACTGTCTAGGTTATGCGAACACGATGAAGCTGACTTGGTTGTCAGATGTTACCATTCTCATTTACGGATACACTTGGTAGTCCGTCGGGGAACGTCGGTACCGGCTCGTGTCTGATCGGAGCCGCCCGAGTGCGTGGGGCGCTGCGACTATTATGTGGGCTTGTTACCATTTTTTGATTTGGTTACTCACTCCTCACTCGTCAATAGCCGTTTTGGTTACCGGCTGTAATGTGCGTGCAATTAAAGATGGATGAGTGTCGCTGCGTAATCAATCATCTACTGGAAAAGTCATTCTAATTGTATAATTTTTAAGAAAAAAAGAGATCATTGAAAATGTAAGACCAACACCTATTTTAGGTAGTTTTAAAAAGGAATAAAAAAAGCGTAGTTTGTTATTTTAAATTAAGTTGTTATATGGAAACTCTTGGTTATGTGGTTGCAAAAAAACAGATTGTATTGTTGTTTTATACAGAAAGAAATGGGTGGACCAGCAGCGGAGTCAACGATTTAAATAGTCTTAGGGCGCTAAAGAGGAGACATGAAATTTCTCCGTTACATGTGAGATGTGTAGCCAATTTAATTCAGTTTGGCAAAACAAGAATCGAAAGTTGTCTTAACCAGGCTTTTAGGCAGCACACTTCTAGATACCGTATGTTTTTTGGCAAAAAAGGAATTACCGTTCATTTTGAAGGGGAGGACTCGGACAATAGAGGAAATTACAGGGAATTGTTAACATTCATTGCCAAAAAAGATCAAAAATTTTCCGAACATCTAGAAACGTCGACTGTTTTTCGGACGGCTTGCCATAGCATAAGATGATGGGGTATATCAAGTGCCCCAGACGCTCAGTCCAGGAATGTTCACCTTGATTTAAAAATAGTTTAAATAACATACCTAAAGTAAGCAGAAACTTATATTTGGGAGGTTCAAAATAAACTTTTTTTGGTAAGAGTTTAGGAAAAGTCACGCGTCGCCACTGCTGCAGAAGCTGGTTCAATTATGTGTTGAGGATCCACGATTTCTTATACACTCATTGACACGCCTTGGCATCGTGCTGATAAGGTGGCCCATATCCTGTTGGGGTATCTCATTCCAGGCTACTACAACTTCGTGAATAAGAGCTGCTAAAGTCTGAGGAGGGTATTGCAAATTCAAGGGTCTGCGACCTATCATGTCCCAGACATTTTCAATTGGAGATAGGTCAGGCGATCGTGGTGGACAAGGTAAACGGTTGATGCGATGTTGATCCATGAGGGCTATCAATGCTCTCACAACATGCGGTCTGGTATTGTCTTGTTGGGTTTTTAATGGTGTTTGGGTATGGAATAAGATGAGGCTCCACTGCTTCCTGAATATAACGTCGTTCTGTCATATTGCCTCTGATGAAAATTAGTTGTGATCTGCTACCATAAGCAGACCACCTGACTCCGTAAATGTATGAAAACTGAAGGCTTCTTTATCACCAAACAATACAAGCAGCCACCACAAAAACTTAACAGAAAAACCTGTCCATTTTATCACTTACTGTTCATGGCAAGATAATAATAATAATAAGCTTTATTGTCCAACAGTTTCCCATTTACAGGACAATTTATAAACATAATACAAAACCAAAAAAAAATCGAAAAGTAAACAAC